CAGGCTGGAAGGTGTAAAAACCTTCCCCGGTTCTTCGTTCGCGAAGACTGGCCATTATATTTATTTATTTATCTGTTTCACCAAAACCCCCCTTCATTGTTCAGGTAAGGGGATTAGTCCTATCTAATTCCAGCTTTCAAGAAGGTAGCCTGAACAGGTAACCTGTGGGCTGCAGTCTGCTACTCAGTCTCTTGAAACTTACTACCAGACCTAAGCTCATCAGGCAAGAAGCCATGGAATGAGAGAGATATCATAGCAGATAACCTGACAGAAAAGAAGCATGTCACCGTGACACAGGCTATATGCTACTGAGAACAGAGCTCTGCACTTACCTTTCCTGGTGGTGTCTGTTTCACAGGCATATATCTGCCATATATCATCTACATATATGTCTGCCAGTGTATCAAGTGGAGCTGATCAGTAAATGCAGCCTCTGTGTGAATGCAGAAACATGAAGGTTTGAGGACTGATGAATGACCATAGTTGCAAAGACCTAGAGACTCTGTGCTGGTGTTGTTTTTTGCAGATATGGATGTTGGAGGCCAGGAGGTGCAGGGTCTCCAGTTCTGTGGTAGCAGAGCCTATTAGACTGGAGGTTCTCTGGAACCACAGAACCATGTCTATACGTCCAGTGGTTTCGATCTCAATATTTGAGATGCAAGTTATTTATCTGTAGGATTCTAAGAGGAGTATCTCAGAACAGGGAAAAAATGGTGAAAAGAAAGTATAGGAAGAAGATCAGAGATTGAGTGTGGGATCTTCCTTTGAAGAAATATAGAGAAGGCATTAAGTGGGTGAAGGATTGGGTTTCTAGTTTGAATGCCTAGGACAAGGCTGTATTCTTGATTATGTGAAAAAAATTACATGTATTTCTTTCTTTTCACCTCTCCATTTAGAGGTTATTGATTGGCTTGTATTCCTTACTGTCATTTTCACCACCACATATAATTGCAGCACTAATAAATAGCAAGCCAAAATATGATTTTGCCAAAAAAAATGCCAAATTAGATTTACTTTTGGTAACCTGAGAATAGCTGCAGGAAAGCCAAATCCAGATGTTGTATTTTGTGGTCAGACTGAACCTCTGATTAACTTAGGTTCTTGTAATCCTGCCCCTGGCCCTGGTAAACTGATGGTTTCAACCTTGGACTGAATTAAGCAAGGTCTTATTCAATGCACAGCTGTGGTATCCTAATATTTACTTAGGTGTACATAAAGGAAAGCTCTTGAAATATAATCAACTACTTCATTTATCTTTCCAAATTCTACCAAACCTTTGCTTGCCATGTCTGTGACAACATGCTGTTGCTGTACATTGAAACTTTACTTTTTTGATAAGACCTCTTATCAAACTGCTTTTTACAGAAATAAACGTAAAGTCATTGATAACTTGATTCTTAGCTCAAGGCAGTCATGGATGGTAGATCCTAAAATGTATTAATTAATAACTTTTGCATAACATGCGACCTTGGCCTAGGAATGTGTTTTTATTCATTTCTGGTGTTCTAAAATTGTGCAAGTATTTTACATTCTACCTTTTATTTGAATTAAATGAAAACACCTTCCCACCCCAACCGGCAACGAGCCTCACTCTAAGATCACTGTGCAGAGGTGTTTATTTCTCTGGACTTCAGAGACGTCTCTTGACTTGGCTCTTTTACACTAGATGACTGGTTGTTACACAGTTAAATTTTGGGCAGCTCATTCCCACATCAAGAGTGCACAATAAGTACAAAAATTACAAAAAAAAAAAAAAAAAGATTCTGTACTGAGGAGATGAAGTTTTAAGTCCTGCACCTAATATTGGCTTCCTGCGTGACATAGAGATATTATTTGAGAGCAGACCACAAGCTTGGTTTTTGTTCCCTTTGCATTACTTCTGCAATGAAAAGGAGCCAGGGAAAGAGGAGCCAGGGATTTCCGCATTGCAGAAGGAATCCCTGGCCAGTGTATAGGTAATGTGTTATTTGTAGGCTCTTCCTTGCTCCTTCTTGTAAACCAGCATGCATACCTATGATGCTATCCATTCTTAGTAAATAGTAATTGTTCCAGTTTCAGTAAGCATGGAAATAGTAAATATCTAGGATAAAGAGTGACTTTTTTTTGTTCTTTCCTTAGTAAAACATGTCAAGGTCTTTTGAATCTTATACTGAAATCAGCGAATACGGAAATCTCAGGTTATAAATGAGTATTCTTATGTTTTAGGTTTACCAGAGGAAAATGAATATTCAAGACTGTCTGCCAGCACTACAGCAGGCTCATCAATTCAAAGACACAGGGAGAGCCACACTAGTCAGGTAAATATTTCATTGATGGTCTCTAGAACCAGTTAAAGAGAAAAGAATCATAGCAGTTGCATGTTGAAAGCTATCTTGATTCAAATTTGGATGTTGACATTGAAAAATGCAGAGGTTTTTTACAGCTTTATATTGAGCTAAGGACAATCAATTTACTATTAACTGTTTGTACTGGAAGAATGATCTTCCTGAAAGGTTCTCATAGTAGAGTTCAAAGTTTATGAAACATACTGTTGCTGTTTGTGAGGGTGCTGTTTTGAGGCAGGAAATATGTCTCTTCACCCTGAAAGGACAAAGATGTTATCTGTTATTAATTCATACCAGAAATAGTTGCACAATAATGAACCTCATAAGAATAAATACATAATTATGTCATCCTTTTGTATACAAAAGCAATGAAGACTTAAAAATAGTCTTCACGATTTTTATATAAATATCCATAATTAATAAAATGAAAATATCTGTAAATTAAAACAGTATTAAGTACTAATGTAGTTTGAAGCTTGTACTGGTTCTCTTAAAATTTCTATATAGTTAATGTCATATTAAAATTACAACAAAGAATTAAGTTTGATGGGTATTAAGTGAACAAAAAGGAATAAAATTTGTGTCGTGGTTTTGCTCTGGGTCAATTTGCTCTCACCCCACACACAATTACTACAAATTGAGAGAAGGTTTGTGCAGACAAAAGAGACCTGATTTGGGAGAATAATATTAACGTGTATTACTAGCAAGATAAAAAAAACTGAAGAACTATATCTACAACAATTCTACTTAGGTAAAAGTACTATAATATAATTTCTTCATTCTTTTCTTCACCATTTTATATATAATATGAACCACTTTACTTTTAAAGTAGCCAATTCAGGCATGAACGCATTCAAATTTTATTATGGTATGATATTGTTTCACTTAAATGGCATTAGTGTGTTCTCCTGTTGTCATTATGTCTTCAGTCCAGTTTTCTAAAAAGGCAGTCCCAAGCAATTTTTTTTATTTGAAAAGACTTTAAGAAGTTTACAGTAAAGCTAAAAATGGTCCAAAGAGGAAACAAATTGGAGCTGAGATGCCTTTTCTCGACAGAAACCTGTCATTAAATAATTGTACAATTTCCAAACTATTTTAGCAGAAGGTAGGGAAAGTGTTTTATCACATTTAAAAGCTGCTTGTTCTCTGTACGGGACAGCTGACATTTCTTTACAACAAAATACTGTCCCTAACCAAATTAAGTGAATGTTTGGCTATTGACTCCAGAAGGAGTGAGATTCAACCCTCAAAATTGTACTCGATCTTAATTTAACTTTGAAAAACAATAGGTTTCAACTCATTAATTTTTTGAGCAAACTAGTACACTTTTTGCTTTTCTTCCCCGCTGTCAAAAGCGTGTAACTACAGCGCCTATTCTGAGTTGAAAGATTGTGCCAGGACGGCACTCAGCACTTCACTTAAT